ATCCTCCTGGGTCACGGGGGGGCTGGAGCCTATCATAGCGCTCACTGGGCGGAAGGCAGGAAACACCCTGGACATGCCGCCAGTCCATCACAGGGCAGACAGACAGACATATCTAGAAACAATTTAGCATCTCCAGTTGGCCTGACTGCATGTCTTTGGACTGTGGGAGGAAGCCCACGCAGACAAATGGAGAACATGCAAACTCCACATAGAAAGGAGCCTGGTTACCTGGCCGGGGTATCGAACCCAGTCCCTTCTTGCTGTGAGGCGACAGCACTAGCCTCGTTTTTTAATACTTTTTAATTGCAGTGTTAAAATGTGGAGAATATAGCCTGTACCACCTAGCTTGGGTGGCTGACATCCCGCTCACTTACAGCAGTGAATGCCATGCTAGCACGGTGCTAGATAGCATGTGTTCTGTACTGGAACCTTACTAGGGCCACAATGTATGCACTTCCTACATCCGGTTAGACCACATCCGTGAAGTGCCCAGTGCATGCACTGTGCTATCACCCCCTAGCCTGCCGCTAAGAGAGCCTAGCTAGGAGATTCGGATTTTACAGCGGATGAAGTCGCAGCTGTGCTTTCAACATGGCAATCAGATGCAGATTCTTAGCCCCCTGGGTGGGGCAGGGGGGGCCAAGCTTCAAATATTGGCTGCTGATCACTTTCCAAGCTCTGAAAGCCAAAAAATGCTATTCTGGACAGGCCTAAATAATAAATAGCGTACTTTAACACACCTAAAATATACTTTTCACAATTTTTGAAATGTATATTTTTAAAGTAACTCTTTTTTAAATAATGCTTTATTACGCTGTAAGGAAACACACTTAAACAAAACAAAATATACCTAAACAAAAGTATATTTAATTGTCTTCAACTTAAATCTATTAATTAGATTTTTGTTGTAATATAACTCAATCTAACTGCAATCAAATATGGGTATCCGTACACAAAATTCATTTAAAATACATTGCAAGCCAGTAAAATGTGTGTCTTAATTGCTTAAAATGAACTTCATTGCAGCATAAGCAGTTCCCATTTGGAACGGAAAAGCTTTTATAGGTAAAGAACGTTCATTTCAAGTGAATATTTTAAAAAGTAACAAATAAAACATGTATTTAAGTGCATTTTAATTGCAGTATAACTCAAAAAGTAACATTGAAGCATATCAGTGCATCCAGTAGTATATTTATAATATATATTAACCCTCTACTGCATGCATTATGAGCGCAATTTAAAAAATTCAATTCACTTCTCTTGCATAAAATGATCCTTGATTTATTTTTTCTGACCCGATTATTAAATTCAAAAACATTTTAAAAATGTGTGCAGGGGTCCTTTTGGAGTATGTTGCCTTGAGGCAACACTAAGTGACAATGAGAAGAAATGATATAGAATTGTGTTCCCTGAAGTGGTGAGACCTGGCTTGTGACTGGTTAAATCCATTCCACTGTCGTGCAATGTTGCTTCTAGGCAACAAACATATTTCTAAAATTAAATAAAAATTTGATACTAAACGTTAAAAAAGAGGTTTAAATGTGCCCACTAAGAGAAGATACGACCAAGTATATATATATATATATATTTTTTTTTAATACAAGCTTATTTACAATAACATACTCAGTATGTATTAAGGTATGTTAATTAAGTACTTTTTGAAAAGTATAATTAAATGCATTTTTCTTTCCCAAAGATTAGATTAGATGTAGCTGAAACTGCACAATAGACAAAAAACTGCACAGTAGACAAATTATATATAATATTGTACTATACAGTTGACTGCAAAAGTTTGTGCACCCCTGGACTAAGGGAAAATAAGTTAAAATATCCTTTTTAATATGTTCAAATTCAGCAAGTAAAATAAAATTTGGAAACTAAATATGCCATATTTCAGTTTAAGAGGATTTACTTACTTTTATTTATACAAAAGTATAAACCCATCATAATGTTAGTAAGTACAGGTAATCGAGTAGCTGGAAATACTACTATACTCTTTTAGCAACTGTGCATTTCTTATGGGTTTCTTACAGGCGAATTACAGCGCCTGACCAGCGCCCTGCCAACCCATCATAAAGAGAGTCTTCAGGGTCTCACCTCACTAAATAAAGTGCTCTCTGACTGTTACACTAGTCGTCACCACAGTAAGTTATTTCTACACCTGTGTTTAACAGGCGATTATGCTCAGTGCCCTGTAAAGCAGACAGGCTGTTGAGGAGGTTATCAGCAGCTGGTTCTCTCAGCAGGACGCTGTAAAGACTGACCAATAAAGCTCAGACACAGAGGCACACGTGCCGCACTGGCTCTCAGCTACTGAACGCAGTAAGACCTACAGCTGAAAGTGGCCTACAGTCCTCATTATTTAGACTGTTACTGATATAAACTACCGTTCAGAAGTTTCGAATCCATCATTTTCAATAATAGAAATCAATTTTAGATGAGAGATAAATGGAGCTGTAGATGATTTGGAAATGATTGAAAACATCCAGAATTAACATCTAAGAAAATTAACATCCAGAATTAAGTACTAATAAAATTAACATCCAGAATTAAGTACTAATAAAATTAACATCCAGAATAAAGTTCTTATAAAATTATTATCCAAAATAAAAGATCTAAAAAATTTCATTTCCAGAATTAAGTTTTAGTAAAATTAACAATCTGAATTAAGTTCTACAAAATTAATATCCACAATAAAGTTCTAATAAAACTAATATCCAGAATGAAGTTTTAATAAAATTAATATACAGAATTAAGTTCTACAAAATTTGTATCCAGAATAAAGTTGTTTTAAAATTAAAATCCAGAATAAAAGTTCTAAAAAATTTCATATCCTGAATGAAGGTCTAAAAATGAATATCCAAAATAAAGTTCTAATGAATTAATATCCAGAATAAAGTTCTAAAAAAAAATAATATCCAGGATGAAATTCTAAAACATTAACATGCAGAATGAAGTTTTAATAAATTAATATCCAGAATGAAGTTCTAATAAAATTCATATATATAACCTCATATCTCCAAAATGGTAACTTTACAGGAGAAAGGAAAAAACATATATATATATATATATATATATATATATACACAAGTTATTGAACATTCAGATAAACAAACATCCAGATAAAAGAGGTGAGAAATTGTGACCAACAACTGGACAGCTGGGAATATCGCTAAATATATTTGTCTGGCCAAATGGACAAAACTGCCCAGGGCAGTGACAGGATTACCCTACACTGTACATGTTACTGGGGTCACTCTTGTTATTTTTATGTAAAGGTATTTTTGTAAGGGCACTTCTTCAGCTTTAAGCCCAGCACAGCTCCAGAACTTTCTCTCTAAAGGTGACGGTAAACGTACTACTGCAGACGCAGCCTTACAGACTCATTACTCTCCTCTGGGAGCTTGAGGGTCTAAAACATGCATATCAGTCACAGCAGCTCCTGATTGGCCCTTTAGTGTCGTAGCTTGGAGTTTTACGACAAGCTCCTCACCTTCACACCTTCAGCTCAGCTCAGAGCACTCAGAGACACCCAGCTCAGCCCCAGAGAGGCAGACAGAGCCAGAACTCTCCCTCTGATCACACACAAGCTTCTAAACATGCACACGAGTCAGAGGAGTCACAGGACAGTCCTCTCTGTGAGTGGTCAGCTGGTGGTGATCTGATTATTAATGCACTCAAACAGCCTGTTAAACTGCCCTCTCTGTGGACTCACCTGTGAACGCAGTGATTTCTGGGTCATCAGTGTGGACAGTGGAACAAGACACCACATCACTGAGGGTTTGTAAACAATATTTCATAATATTATCATTTCTACCTTCGGTAGACTGACCACACTGTGAAAAGGGAGCTGTTTGGCTGGAAAAACAGGATTAACAACACATCACTGAAAGACAACAGCCCCCCAGAAACAGAGACCACCAGACCAGCAAACAACAACAAAGAGCCGACAGATGACAATACAGAGAGAGAGAGAGAGAGAGAGAGAGAGAGAGAGAGAGAGAGAGAGAGAGAGAGAGAAGGATAGATAAAAGAAAAATAGAGAAAGAGAGAAAAGAAAGAGAGAGAAAGATTAAATAAAAAATAGAGAGAGAAAGAAAGAAAAAGAGAAAGATCAAGTGAGAAATGGGGAGAGAGAAAGAGAGAGAGAGAGAAAGAAAAAGAGAGATAAAAGAAAAAAGCGAGATAAAAGAAAAAGAGGAGGAGAAAGAGAGGGGAGAGAGAGAAAGAAAAAGAGAGAAAGATCAAGTGAGAAATGGAGAGAAAGAGAGAGAAAGAGAGATAAAAGAAAAAAGAGATAAAAGAAAAAGAGGGGGAGGAAGAGAGAGAAAGAGAGGTTAGAGAGAGAAAGAAAAAGAAAGATCAAGTAAGAAATGGAGAGAAAGAGAGAGAAAGAGAGATAAAAGAAAAAAGAGAGATAAAAGAAAAAGAGGGGGAGGAAGAGAGAGAAAGAGAGGTTAGAGAGAGAGAAAGAAAAAGAGAAAGATCAAGTAAGAAATGGAGAGAGGAAAAGAGAGATCAAAGAAAAAAAGAGATAAAAGAAAAAGAGGGGGAGAAAGAGAGAAAGAGGGGAGAGAAAGAGAGAAAGAAAAGAGAGAAAGATCAAGTAAGAAATGAAGAGAGAAAGATGAAGTAAGAAATAGAGAGAGAGAGCGAGAGAGAGACAGGAAAGAAAGTATGTGTGATAGAGAGAGGAGGAAAAGAGAGAGAGGAAAAAAGTGTTTGATAGAGAGAGGAGGGAGAGAGTGAGAGGGGAAAGAAACTGCGTGTGATAGAGATAGAGAGAGCGAGGGAGGAAAGAAAGTGTGTGTGTGAGAGAGAGAGAGAGTGAGAGAAAGAGAGAGAGAGAGAGAGAGAGAGAGAGAAAGAGAGAGAGAGAGAGACCTTTACTTGAGCCTCAGCCAAAACATTTTAATCAGGGAAGTTTGCCTTACTAAAGAAGCTGGCTGGGCTGAGGGGGGTCCACCACACCCCTCCACTTTCACTCTCTCTCTCTCTCTCTCTCTCTCTCTCCTCCTCCTCCTCCTCCTCCTCAGTATGTGGGTGTGCTTTCCTGCTCTGGAGTCTTAACACTCTGCCGAGCGCTGAGGCTCCACACTGTGTGCTGGAAGAAAGCCGTGAGAAAGACAAAAGCTCTCGACACACACTCGCGCACTCACACACACAAACGCGCACACACACTCGCTCTCTCTCGCTGACCGGCTCTCTCACAATGGATGTCAAAGTGCTGGCGGTGATGGTGTTGCTGACGGTGGCCGTGTGGAGCCCGGAGACTGACGGTAAGCTGCTGCTGACTGCCTTTCAAACATGATCTATTTGGTGTTTCGTCTCAGGGGTAGATGTGAGGAGGTGAGGCTGGATCTCTGGGTTTGCTGGTGGTGTTCCTCCGAGCAAGCACTGACCAGGGACTTGGAAAAGTCAGTTATTCTTACGCCACGTCTGGAAAACTGAGCGTCTATCATATAAGCTGCTTAACTGGCTGTGTTTAATGTGGAGAACGTTTCTTTCGTGATCTATCTTCTTATCTTCTAAGACTTCTTGATAGAAAACCAACAGACACTGTTGGAGAACTTCGGTAATTCCTTTAGCAGTGAAGTTCCTTGATAATAAAAGGTCTTTTTTGCACGTTCGTAAGATGGTTTCTAATGTAAAAAACTGTTTTTTCATGGATTTGTGATTCCTGCCATTTTTTGAGACTAAAAATTCCCTCTAGAAGAAGGTGCATTGGTACAAGGAGTTAACGGGGGTCCGTCACTCCAAAAAAGATGGATAGGGTTCTTCAGTAAAAGGAATGGTTTTATGTAGAACTATTTCATGCTTAAATGGCTCTTTGCATGGTGAAAGTGTTCTTCAGGTTGATGGAGAACATGTTGTGTATGGTTCTATAAGGAACCACTTCAAAAATGCTTTTATATAGCACCAAAAAGACTGTGGATATTTTGTGATCACTCTTGAACATCTCCTTGATGGAGAACCAACATACATTGTTGGAAAACTTCCCTGATTCATGCCCATTTTTGATTAAAACACTTTTTTAAGAAGGTACACTTTGGTTTTTAAGGCAGACGTCATGCTAATTTGGAGATTTTGTGGCCTTGTGGGAGATATCTTGATGGAAAACCAATGAAAACTGTGATTCTTTTATTTGGGAGAATCCCTTGAGGTTTGAAACCACCTTTGCAAGACAGACCTGCTCTGTTTTTTTAGGTCTTATGTGCTTAAAAACGAGGTATGATAATTAACTGTGTCTTATTTACGTTTTGGAGCTTCTTAAACTAGTTGCTGTCCAAAAGAAAAACAATTTTTGCTATATTTTTTTTTGAGACCATTGAAGCTCAGCAACTGTCCTTTACATTGTGTGAAAAGTTTGTAAAGAATGGACCAATAGAAACACTCCAAAACTGCTTGGAATAAAATCCATTAACTTACATTGTAAGTAAAGAAAGTTTTTGCCCTCTCTTGTAAAGTTACCGTTTCGGAGATACTTGTTTTTCTTTAGACAGCTATGATATATATTTATGTATTCATGTTGTTGAATCCATATTTCGGAGACGCTAATTGCGCCAAGTTTGGTGCGTTGGACTTTTAAAAGCTAGATTCAACCTGAGCAGCTTGCGTATCTTTGTGACCTTGCCATTACTTTCTAATTAAAAGATGGAGAAGAACAACATGGTCACGCTTGCTGCTCACTTGGCATACCGAAGGCTTAATGGTGCGGCGTTTAACATGAGAAAGGGTGCTAGAAATAGGGAGCATGGATGAAGATTTAAAGGCAGACTTGGCTAGTCTAGTCTTCAGCCACTCTTGGTCTGAAAAGAAGAAGCTATAATAGAAGGTGGTGGGCAGAGAAGTGTTTGACACCAGATTGAGGACCAAGTCTATGCATTTCTGGTGCGGCTGAACGACGTGATACTACGTGGAAAATGCACTTCAGACGCAAAGGATTCAATCTCAAACCCAAGAAAGTCTTGAAGTGTTGGGGGTTGGAAGAGAAATGCTTTTTCTTAGCTAACTTGAAGGGTCTTGGAGGGTCCTTCTCTGCTTGACGACTGCAGAGTAAAAAGGCAGGACCCGTGTGAGGGGAAGCTAGAACAAGAGTGGCAGCCTAATCTGTTTTTAATGATCCCGGCCGTCTGTGGACGCAGGTGAACATTCCACGGATGTGCTATCTATAGGGGAAGAGGTTAAATAGAATGTGGTGCTACATCTAAAGAAAGCCTCTGTTTTATGACAGAGAGGGTTCATTTCATTTTAATTGTAAATCACTTGGCGCGCCATGCTGAATTTAGCCATGAATTCCTTTACGACTCTGGGCTCAGCTCTACAATCATTAGTTCATTTTTCAGATTTCAGCCTAAAAAATACCTAGAAGTATTTTTGTTTCACTTCCAGTTTTTGCCAGCAATTGTAATAAATGTAATGAAGGATAATGCTGTAATTTTAAAAGTAAACAAAGTTTGTAAGCAAAGAAAAAAGATAATATATACAAAAGAAAAGTAATACAAATTAATTTTGTACAAACAAAACTATTTTATACTTTTGTGACCACATTTTCTGATTAATTTGGCCATTGTTATTTGATAATCATAAATAATTCACAGTCACAATTTTTATACAAACCCAAATCCAATTTATTATTTCAGCTTGCTTTGGTTGTTCTCCTGTTTTTTTTAAATATCCAACCTTGTAGAAGGTCCAGATTGTTCTGCACTTTTTACAGCGTATTTGCTGACCGCACTGCTGTTTTTGTGGTTTCTCCACAGCTAAACCCATCAGCCTGGTGGAGAGGTGCTGGTGTCGCTCAACCCTCAACACTGTCCCGCAGAGGAGCATCCGCGAGATCAAGTTCCTGCATACTCCCAACTGCCCCTTCCAAGTGATGTAAGTGCCTTATTTAACAGAAACGTATATTCTTGTTTATTTTGCATTGTTAGCACTATATATGGGTACCTACAGTTTTAGGTATATTCCCATGTACATATCATTGGATATGTATATTTTTTAGTCTTTATTTAACTCCTTATGAATATTTCCAGCAATAAACATCAAACTCAGAGATCTCATTTTACTTAAAATGAAGTTACTCCACTCTATAATACTCAAAATCTAATCTAAGCACCAATTGTAATTTTTTTTAATTTACTATTTTATCTCACAGCTCACACTGTGTGGGGAAAATGAACACTTCAAAACACACCGATACATTCCCTATTAGCCCCAGTCACAATATTAATAATATTATTTGCAACTTTATTGAGCCAAACTGGCATTTTAAATTCATAAATGAAAAATCACTTGCCTATTTAAAGCTACTCTAGGTAAGATTTGGGGATTTGGAGACCTCTCTGGTGAAAATGGTTAATTGCATGCAACATGTAGAAGAAGTGTTTTGGACCCCTTCCCCGAGTGGATGAATCTGATGATTGCTTCCAAGGATGTGCGTGAATTATCTACTATTGTCATATCTTCATCAAACAATCTATGCAACAAAGCCTGTGATTGGTGCAAAAGAGTATGCAAGCTTGTAAAACTGTGAAGGTGGTTTTGCGAATTTTCCGAGCTTTGTTTAGCTGAAAGTTTACAGAGGCCTCGAGACAAGCGAGTCATGCAGAATCATGCTACCATGTTTTGATGTAGGAGAGAATCTCTCTACCCTTCGGACTTCAAATGTTCAAAACGATAAGACGTGTTCCAGATTAGCGAAATGATGCCAAATGTTGGTAGAAAAGAGATTAGGAGGGAAAAAGGACATCTAGCCGAGGTCAACACAAACACAAAGCCGATCACTTTCACCTCTAATGATTGGTTCCTTATAAATTGCAGCTCATAGTAGTTTTGGCTATTAGAGCTGGCAGTTGTGTTTGTATTAATAAAGACTTTGGAAATTTTACTGTTTTTATGGATAGACATAGATACACACTCATACACAAAAGTTTGGGCACCCCTGGTCAAATCAGTAAAACACACTACTGCACATTTTCTTGCACATCTGCCGTTTATTTTCTCAATTTAACAAATCATGGGAAAAATAAGACATAAAATGTGGCTTGTGCAAAAGTTATGGCACATTTTATGTTTCATACCCCCCCTCAATATGTTAAACTCAGCAAATAAATAGAAACTGTGCACTGAAATTTGCAAAAAGTGTTTGTTCAGGTGTGTCCAAAACTGCAAATTTAAGTGCACAGTTTCTATGTATTTGCTGAGTTTAACATATTGGGAAAAATAAAATATAAAATGTGCCATAACTTTTACACATGCCATATTTTATGCTTGTTTTTTTTATATATTAAATTCAGCGATTCAAAAATCAACAGCAATTGCGTGTTTTTTCACTTACAAAGTTGACAAAACATGTCATTTGACTGGGGGTCTTCAAACCTTTTTACGACTTCATATGACTGTATAAAGAACACATAAAACTCACAAAGATGGTTTCAGCTTTGAGCAAATTTTGTGAGCTTTGTTTTGTTGAATGAGGCCATAAAAAGGCGAAGGGCTATTTATCACAATGAGCCATGCATAATTATGCTACAATATTTTGATATAGGCTTACTGTATTTACATTGTAAAACTGCAATGCAGAGCAGCCAAAATCAAAATGATGAACTGGCTTTTTGCCGACTGCACTAATATTTAAATGACGGACTTTTGAGCATGAGGTGCTGAATATACAGGCCCTTACAGGCTGAAGGGTTAAATGAAGTCTTCACCATGTTTGTTTATTTAGAGTGTTTTTTCATGCTGTGGTTTGAATCTTCCTATGTGGTCTTGAAGCCTTAATTGGCAGTCGGCAATGTGTCTGTGGACAGAGACAGAAACAGCAGGTAGTAAGTACCTCACAGCCAGTTAATGCTAACAGCAAACAGGCCGCTCCGTGTGTGCAGAGGGGTAGCGTTGCTGCCATATTTCTTTCGTCTGACCTGCTGAAGTAACCCAGGGGTGTTTTGGGGTCCGCAGTCCTTGAGATTCAGGGGTGAATTCCTAAACAAACTGCGTTTAGCTGAAGGTTATTTCCCCCAGGCCAGAGTCCTGTCCAAGTCTGACCCCGCTGACCCCTCTTCCCCTCAGCGCTGGATGACTAACACAGTTTCCAAACGCTCAAAGCGATTAGACGAATATGTTCCAGGTTAGTGAAGTGATGCCAAATGTTGGTAGGAAAGAGATTAGGAGGGAAAAAGGACATCCAGCCAAGGTCAGCACAAATACAAAGCCGATCATTTTGACCTCTAATGATTATTTCCTCAAGAATGAATTTCTAAAGTGTAGCTCATGTTGTCTAGATCTCCTGATAACGGGTAACACGCATATAGCTCCTCTAATTGGGTTAGGCCTTCTCACAATTGGAAGCTCAGAAACAAAAAAAAACCAAAAAAAAAAAAACAGGTAAACAATGTTAACTCCGCGAAAGACACAATATTGTAATGTTTACATTCTAAACTAAAAATGCTTAGAACAAAATGAAAAACTGTTAGTTACTTCACTTTTTCCTGTGTAGGCCTAATATAATGAAACTAGTGGTATCAAATTAACATGCTAACTAGAGTTGGGTAGTATAACGGTAATAAGGTATATCGCATTTATAGCATTTAAAAATTATGACAGTATTTCAAAATGATGACGCGTCAAATTTCTGTTCCGCATAAACACAAACACACACACACACACATCATCTAAACTGCTTATCCTTCTGGGTCGCGGTGGGGTGCTGGAGCCTATCCCAGCTGTCATCGGGCGGAAGGCAAGATACACCCTGGACAGGTACAATAAACACATTCCATCAATTTATATTTTAACTAATGGTGGTTTAGAAGCCCACCAATAGCTGCTGCTAATAAAAAAGGTGGAAAAATCAGAGCCTGAGGTAAAAAATCTTAGACAAACTAAACATGTTAGCGGTTCAGCGACAGCTAAGAGCTACACTCACCACAAAACATGTTCGATTTCAGACTCTCGACACTGTGCTCTCAGATACCCTCTATATATGTTTAAATTTAGCATAAGTTAGCTGGAACCGAGGCTGTGCTGTGTTGTGTTGCACATTTAGCCTGCTAACTAAGCTATTGTTAGCTTAGCCAAAACGCTACAGTCCCAAACACCACAGAACAGGTTCGATTTCAGCTTTCTGTCTCTTCAACATCGTCCACTCCACGTTTTCTGTCTCAGACATTAGTTTTTATCGTCTGCTCTTGTTTCAGCAGAGCAGGTTTAGTCAGAATCAGGCCTGTACTGTGGTGTGTGGCACTGTTTGGGTCTGTAGCCTGTTTGCTAAGCTAATGTTCAGTTAGCTGATCACGATACTGATCCAAACACCACAGAACTTCCCCTTTCTGTCCCTTCAGCACCAGTTGCTTGACTTTCCTCTCTCAGATTTGAATCATTATCATCTAAACACGCGTCAGTGAAACTTTTTGATTTGCTTTGATTTTGAAGGAACGCAGGACAAAACGGTGCAAAAGCAACATAAATACTTTTATGTCACTTACAAGGCTTCGACGCCTCAACCATCAAAGCCCCCTGGTTGTACCGTATATAATCTTTAATGCATTTTCTTATTTTAACCCTACAAAACAGCTGAAGTTTCAGGCTAAGCAGCCTAAAGCCAGGCTGCTAGCGTGCTGTGTCTTGACTCCATTACTGCAGCTAGCTTATTCAAATACAGCTTTCAGGCGGCGAGTTGTATTGATGGCTTTATTGATAAAATCAAGTTGTTTCCAGCTGCTGCCATTATTAATTTGTTTTCCACTGAAAAGACAAATGTTTTCTCATTTAGATATTTAAAATGCCAGTTAGCCCGCACAGTGTGAGCTTTTGGTGTAAAAAAAAAAAAGGCCAAAATTGACCACTCAGCCAACTTAGATGCAAACAAATCGGAATTAGCCATAAAAATCCACAAACAGTGCATCCCTAACTTTTTCCTAAAAGAACTTTTCCCATTTCAGAAGCGGAAGCAATGATAACTGACGTAAACGGCAGATTCTTCAACTTCTGTTCAGTGGACTTAGGCTTCAATCAGACAAAGACTGGAGAGCAAACATGGATCTAATTACGCTTCTGTTTAAATTCAGAAGTCGCTGTTGGGTTAAGCAGGGATTGGGTGGCCGCTGGAGGCGACCATTTGTTGTTGGAGCAGGGGGAGGCAGCTGGGGGGTTTTGAAGGGGGTATGCTGAGCTGAGGGTGGATGTGGTTAATTTGCAAAGCTGTGTGAGCTGTTGCCCCTCTGAGCTGTTAATTCTCAAACACGACCTTTTGGCGCAGAGGTGTGATATGCACACGTGTGTGTGTGAGAGAGGGTGGGGGGCTGTGTGTAAGCGAGCGAGAGAGAGACTGCAGATTTAATGACAGGTTTGATGTGTGCATCTATGTAATGGCATTTAAGTTATATACAGTACTGTGGCCTCAGGCACCTAAGCAGACTGTTTATCTGCACAATAAAAACACTGTTTCACAGAATAAACACAATTAAACATAAACACAGTACAAATTAACACTATTTTAAAAAACGTAGATATCCTGTGGGCTAGTTTGAAGAGCTTTGGTTCCAGATTTCTCCTGCATGCCTCTGTATCACATAGATCACACTTGATTTAACATAATAAGACACTGATTAGCCAAACCAGGTATTAGATGATAACTGCAAATAATACTGGGCTTCCTCAGGAAGAGTTTTGGAAATGGTTTAAACACACTTACATACATAAAATCACTTCTTGTTGTAATATTAGTTGTGTTTATTCTATAATTAGTGCTTTTATAAAAAAACACTTAATGTCCTGATGCATTGTTAATGTAGTCCAACTGCCTAAAACCTTTGCACAGTAATGTAAATTTGTTATTAAAAAATGTTGCAGTTTAACTGAGTTTCACTTTGGACCCCCAG